TGCTCTGACTGTTCAAATGAGATGTCAACCATCAAAATTGGATCAGGTGTTCCAGAGATATCACTGTGCAAAACACACCGGTCCATTTTGACCGAAAATAGTATGGGAAAGGGGGTATGACCTAACGCAAGAGAAGGGTTAAATTACCAGATGAAGTTCCACATTTGACAGGCAGAGGTCAGCAGTGTCCTGCAGATGAGATTGGTCTGGTACTAGAAAGACAGTGAAAGGCTGCTTTGTACAGAAATAAAATTAATAGTTTTCTAAAGCACAAACCAAAGCTTTTGGTTTTTAAAAGGTTTCTGTGCAAAAATAACTATTAATTGCTCTGAAATAAAAATAATATTGGATGAAAGTTGCACTGCACCTTTAAACAAATCTGCTCCATTGTTTTTTGAATGGGATTAATTTCTTTTTTTACCTTTTGGACACCTGAATAACTTGACTGCATTGCTTTGAACTTAACCAATAAGCAGGCAAGAAATATGGCTATTCTCTACTGTTTACTGTAAGATGCACTGAGAGAACTTTAGCATTCCTTGTGCATCGGTCCCACACAATCTGCGATGTAGAGTCTTGCTCTGCCAAGCCTGGAGGACATCAGGAGGGAGCCAGCCTGATAAGACACAGCAGCGCGGAACAATACATGTTTGAAGAAGATCATATATATATTTCATCGGGCCTATTCTCCATAGACCTCTGCATGCCAAATTGGCCTTCGCTAGGCTCCGGCTCCAGACAGCACTGGCCTGTTCTGTCCCCAGTGATGCAGCCAGTGGAACTGCATTTTCCACACCATGGAGCGCAGGTTGGGAAGAGTAGTCAGGCTGACATAATTGGCCCTGGTGACTCCTGGAAGTGAGGCTTATGCTGTAGTTAACCTCATCTATAGTCAGACCACTTTGGATGATTGAAGGGGAGAGAGGTGCATTGTTAAAATGAGGCAGGCGAGCCGGGTCCATGTCAGAGAGCTGACTGGTCGGTCTTGCGGTTGGTAGGTCTGAGTGGTTCAGAGGTGGTGGTTGGTTGAGTTGGAGGCATTGCCCGGGGCAAAATCTTCAGATGAAACTGAGCATATGAATTGTGCTGAATTAAACAGTGCAGTGTTTTTGTGCTGGATTTAACCGCCCTGTTTAATTATTCACTGCTCTTAAATGCATCAGCCGGCATAATAAAATATTCTTTTACATCGTCAAGTAACTCCAGATTATCAAATTTGATTCAAACAATTTGCACACAGACTCATTCATGGGTTCAACCTTAAACTGTCAAATCACCGCAGGGGTCTACATCCAGTTACACACTTTCTTTCAGCATAATGAGATATAATTGCAAATACATCTCTTAAAGGGACAGTTCACCCTAAACTCTTCCATAGAGATTGTTATCCAATATAATGGTACTAAATGGCCTTTGACTTACAGTATTCAAAGTGCCAAATAAATATTCGAAGAACTCGCCATCAATGTCTCTTTTCTCAGAAATCATAACCCTATACTTGTGGTGACCAGTTTATTGTCACTATTTTCTTTCTACCAAACTACACGCAGCAATCGTATCATAGCCCATGCAGGACATGTGCATCTACTCATGGACAAGATGCTTGTTTACTTGAAAGCGCAATATGTAAAATGTAATGGCTTTTCCCTCAAATTAGCTTTAGCTAGCTGAGGAAATGCAGGCTTCCTTCTGCGGGTGGATCCAACTGTCAGGGGTCGTTCTGTATAAAGAAAATAGTTCCTACATGAAACTGCTCACACCAAGTTTGTTGATTATCTTGATTAAACAAGTTGTGATTTCTGGAAACAGGCATTGCTCTTTGAAAACATGTATGTATTGCAATTTCAGCTCCACAAGCTGAGTGATGTTTGAGTATATCGGAGAGAAGGCAAACATCTCTCAGAGCACTTTTCCAACAGAATACATTTTAGATAGAGAAATAAAACTACAAGAGAAGAAAAATGCATTTGTGATTTGGGGTGAACTGTTCCTTTAACCCTAATATGACCTGCACTGTTTGTTCAGTCCTTTCAATGATAAGACTTTAAAGATATTTAAAATCTCCTCACTGGTGAGCCACACGATAGATAATGGAGTTAAATGCCATTGAATTTCTTAACACAGCGCCCCTCCACAACAATCACTCACTCTACACAAAACATCCTCCTTGACGCCGTAATTGCCCTATTAAAATATGTCTCCTTGAAGATGTGTCACATTACAGACCCTCAGGCTCATTATGGAGCTCCCTGCAGCCAATTATCTGAACCTCCTCGTTTAGAAGCCACAGTGACCAAAAGGGGCTCGCACGCAGATCTGGGATCAGCTCTGTCCTCCTCACATCTATACTTACTGTATGAGAAGCCAACAGGAAACTGACCTTTGGTCGTTGTCTCGGGGCGTCTCCACTCAGCTCCACTTCAGAGTCAGGTGACACAGCTTCTGACCTTTACCATGGAAATAATGACTTGTACTTGTGCCAGGAGCTCAGAGGGTTACCGCGGGGAGCGAGACACCTCTGGCGACATGTGACAGTTTTTGGAGGAGAGAGTTTGCACTCAGCACTTTGATAGCCCCGGGAAACCAAAGTGTGTGTGACAAGACGCAAGAGACTTAGAACTGTGTGTATATGTATGCCAGAGTGTGTGTGTGTGTGTGTGTGTGTGTGTGTGTGTGTGTGTGTGTGTGTGTGTGTGTGTGTGTGTGTGTGTGAGCGTGCCAGGGAGGCTCAGACAGTGTTGAAAGGAAATAGGTGTCAGACGGAGGGTGCATAGAGGAGTAATTTGAAGTTGTCAATACTTCCTGTGCAGACATTCCTTCAGACTTTTCAGTCACGAAAAAGGGCCACAGAGTATAGGATGAGTAGTTTGAACAATTCATTGAAAGAAAACTTTTTTTGAGTGCCCTTTGCCTATCACCCCTATACCCTGTGTCAATTCTCCCTTAGGCCACACAATGCCTGGTGGTGTGAGCAAGACAAGTAAACAGTGGCTCTTACACCCTCCGACCTGTAAAGCAACACACTGAGGCTTAATCACATTATATGGACCAGAGAGCAGTCCTTCGTGTCAGAGTGGCTGCTGAGTGTCTTGCTTGTGTGTGGAGAGCAGACAGAGGAGAGGGAAGGAGAAAGGGAGAGGCAAAGGGGGTGGGAGGGTATGGAGGAGGGGGAATGAGATGTGGGGTGAAGGAAAAGAGGAAGAAGATGGGTGATGGTAAGGATGAGGAATAAAGAGGCAATAAAGTGTCAGCTGTCAGTGGAGGTAAAAAGAGAGAATTGAGGGTTCATCTCACCAGGAAACATGTTAATTGCAGCCAAAAATCTGTCTCTGTCTAAGTTTTACAGTATTTTGTATCATAATTCTATACTTGTTTAAAGAAATTCCCTAATTTTGACGTTCATGCCGTCTTTTTTACACATCTTTGGAACATATACTGTCGGAGCTTGAAAGCAAGTTAGTTGCCGTTAAAAAAGAAAATCTGGAAATCGGAAAATGCGTCACGATATTTAAATGTTTTTTGCTTCCCAAGAGTGCCTCAAAACTGTTATTGAACGTTTTGTATTTCTCTTTAAACTCGATCTGACTTCAACATGGAAATCTATTGAAAAATATGTGGCAGATTATTGATAAAATGGAAACTTAAAGTTAAATACATGCACGATTGCGCATAAAACCCATATAGATTTGAGGGTTTTTCATGTTATTAATTCTTATTTTAGAAGCCAGAGGCTAGGTGTGATTTTGTGTTTCTCAGTGGATTGCAGTGGATTTACAGTATATGCACTTTTGCAGTTTTCCGCATGCTCTTTGCCCAAGAGACAAGTCATGTCTGAAACAGCCAGAGGTGAGAACACATCTAACCTTATATCTCTTAACCCCACTCAGCACCAGGTCAACCTCTTATCTGAGTGCCATTCCACATCCTTCATGACACCACAACCTCCTCCTTTGATGCGAAATCTACCCTCAAGATTTTTGTTCAAAGAAAACAAAATTGTATCAATATAAGTACATTTAACCTATATAGAAAAGGGAATGAAATTGAGCCAAACATGAAAAATATATCTGCAGTCAGCCACAATGAGATCCTGTCGGACAGCGAGAGGAATAAAGAAAACTTTACCGAAATAAGAAGTCAGATGTCATTATTTATCATCTTAAATCTGACTTATTTATGAGGCAGAAACAGAATGAAATTCTCGGTTGAATTCTTCCTGAATTATTTAATCTGAAATGGTTAATTCCATACAAAGCCCAGGAAGATCTCTCCTCTGTTCTGATAAATACTTTATCACTGTTCCTAAATCGAAAACAGCAGGAAAAGATGGGGGGTGAAAAAAAACAACAACTTCTCACTGTTTCCTGTTGTGCTTTGTTTCAGAAAGTGTTGGTTAAAGTGCTAATTTTGTGAAGTTTTCTTTAATAATTGAAGTTGATGGGGATTTATTTTTTATAAATCATTTAGGCCTAATGATGCCAGTCTTATTTCTCTGTTTGTTTCAATGCTGTTTTTTATTACGGGTTGTATGAAAAGCTCACTGAAGTGGATAAAGATGTGACACTTACTCAAAATTACTTAAGAGGTTTTATGAAGCATTTTGTGCGTGGTGGATTTTCTTGCAGTCCCAGGTTGACAAAGTCAAAAGCCGCCTAATGAAAAGGGACGCATCGCTGATTGCAGCTATATCTGGAGCCGAGGTGGAAGTGGCATCGATTTAACAATTTAGCAGCACCCTCCTCTGTGTGTTTCCATTAGTCACGGCTGAATACCACCCACTTCCCCCCTTTTCCCTCACTCAAAACACACACACACATGCACACAAACACTCACACACACATTTACCCACAGCTGTGTAGGTATATTTCACTATTCCCAAACAGGATTCACATCAACCCAACTGATACCACTGATGGTTCCTGCACAGTGGACAGCTAATGTAAGCGCACACTCAGAGATCTTTGCCATGCTACGGAATACACTTTTTATTTTTGTGACTCAGTGCTTGTGCAGGCTATAGTGCAAGTGTACAATATTGTATGTTTTTCATGTGTGTGTGATCCGTACAACCTTGCTGCAGGAATGTGTGTGGTGACACAGTTTGCTCAAAGACATTTGACCAAAGATGGGGACCAAAAGAGTTAGCAAGTTGGGAGAGGGTTGGGGCCTTTCAAAATGTCAAAATAGGATTGGTAATTTACCATTCGCTAAACCCCTACCCCACATAACCATTGGCCAATCAGACCAACTGTAACTGCGCATAAGTCTGTCAAACTTGTTTCCACATGCATGGAGAACTGGAGAAATACTGCTAAGAGTTTGGAGAGTGGTGTCTTTTTTTCTTTCTTTGGAAACACAAAAACACAAGCATAACTTTAAGAAATATGCTTTGCACTGCAATCATTAGAGTGTCCAGTTAGCTAAGGGCTAAAAGTGAACAGTGACTTGCAAAGCCAAGGAACTTATCATAAATTAACATTAATTATTGGTGGGTTTGCAATGTTGCTTTATGCCTCTAGCTGGTCACAGTTGTTTTAAACAACTAGAATATCCACTGTATTGCATTGTGTGGAAGTCAGTATTATATGCAATTAAATGTGTGGCTAATGTTAGCATCTCATGAACAGATTTGGGGAAGTTTAAACCCAAGAGTCAACAATACCTGAGATAGTGTTTTATCTGTCAGATGATTAGTTGGTCCTCATTACACATATGGATAAATGTTTCCTAGATCATCAACTGGTGAATATATGCTGGCTTTTTGCTGAGTACATGCAGTCTTAAAATCTCTTTCTCTTAGTATTACAGCAGGTATGTGGCCATGCATATTTAAGACACATTTAAATAGTCTGAACATTATGTTAATTAGCAAGCTAGCCATTAGAGGAAGTCTGTTATATGGCATTTCAGATGGCAAATGCGATGGTTGTTTGCTGGTTGTGAGAGAGCGGCTTTTCTTCTACTTCTGTCTGGACCCATTGATTTAAAAATGTGTTCAACTTTAAAGGTAATTTGCTGTTTGAAAATGGAAGCTTGACAGACGTAACAACAGTAACTGAGGGGTAGCTATTTGCAAATGGTGAATTGGTCAAGTCACAACAACAAAATATAGACAGAATATATTGTTTTTTTAAAGTCCATCAGTCTTTTAAATATACTCCGTCGATGATGTGTTGGTTGGACTACAATGATGACATAGTCTTCACAAGTTCAAAGGACTGTCCGGCTGTCTATCATGGCATCATTTAAGCCTTTCCACACATCAGCTGGTTTGGGCTGCTGGAAAGGAGGACCGTGGAAAACTCCATCCACCCATTCTCTGAGCGAGGCGACTGGCGACTCCTGTTCCCTCTCTGCCTTGGTGAGCGCCATGTTTGATGGATACCCAGGAGACAAGGACCCGGTCGACGACAGCATGCAGGGGGGGTATTCTGGCTGCAAGCTGCCGTCCAATGACGCAGCAGTGTGAGCGATGGACCAGATTTTGGGCTTGCTCTCTGTACATCGAGGGTCTGGATTAGCATAGAAGGTATTGTTTTGCTGTTGGACAGTCTGGGGACAGTCTGGGGACAATCTGTCTTTTCCGTGCCGTGTGTTGTCTGGGTTGTGTGCGAGATGCCCATGTGAGAGTTCTGTGTTTGGGTTTGCGTCACTGTCCTCACGTAGAAACTGTGGCTTCGGTTCACAATCAGAACCGTCTGACTCCAGGAGGTCGAAGTCCTCAAGGTCGCTCTGCAGGTCTGCACACTGTTGATCTGCAATAATGAATCATACAGATCACAGGAAGTCTGCACATGCTAATCTATTGACAGATTGATTTGAGTAGGTCTTGCTTACCAGGAAGGTCTTTGTCACTTTTAAGTGGCTTTTCCGCTTCATCGCTGTCTTCATCACAGCCTCGGTCATCAGAGCTTTTACAAGGCCGCGGTGACCACGTAACCTTGTTCTCCTTCTTCAGCCTCCTGCGTGCATTAGCAAACCACGTGGACACCTGAAGGAGGGAGAGATGGCAGGTCAGAGAGGAACAGAAAATTATACGAACAGGACGTTAAACCTACTGTAGTGTAAAGAAAAAAACAAGGAAAGAAAAGGGAAAATTACGCTAAATACCTTGAAAAACAAGACAACATTTTTCAGGCAACTAAACTTCAGAGTGACTTTCTTATGTAACAGAAAGCTACCTGTGTGAGGGTCATCCGGGTGATGATGGCGAGCATTATCTTCTCTCCCTTTGTGGGGTAGGGGTTCTTCTGGTGCTCCTGCAGCCAGGCCTTCAGGGTGCTGGTGGTCTCCCGGGTGGCGTTTTTACGACGGGAAGCACCGTCAGAGCTGGAATACCTGAGAGAAATGATAACAATTGCAATATTATTTAGCTATGTCGTATCAACAATAAGTGCTTTTACTAGGAAAGGCCTTATAATGTATGGGTAACGATTGACTTTTCTCCAATGTTTTTAGTGTTTGTTGATTGTTATGTCTGCCTAAGGACTGCAGATGGAAATTAACCATTATCTCAAATCTGGCATAAATCAACTCTTCTCTATTCTGAGATTAATGTATTTGTTTTCATGAACCTTATCAAATAAATACATAAAATGAATTAAATTAAATTAAATAATATATATTAAAGATGTCTTGGTAGAGAGACAATACTATAAATTCCCTAAAAAAGTACACATCCTTGTACTAGTACTATTCCAGTATAATGATGCCAAGAGAAAAAAGGAAATAGGAGGTCTCTACAAACATCGCTGCAGTCAGTTGAAATATTTTTTTTTAGAGAGTGATTAGTTCTTATTGAACAGATTACCATTTAGTTTAAGGTTAAAAAGACTTCCACTTACCCATATCTGTCATATGGATATTGTCCAAGTGCATATTCATAGGGATAGTAACCAGGAGTATGAGATGTCCCCACGGATGTAGCTCCATCTTTGTGATCTAGTGGTGCCTGAAAATATTAGCAAATGACTAATATAAATATACATGTATTCAGATGTTATATTGTTCACAGAAATCCCCTCTGATACTTAAGGATGACTTATCCTGAATTCACCTTTTTACTTGAAAACATACAGCCTTAAAAAAACACTTTATACAACTCGTTTTCACTCTCGCCTGTGCCAGAACTATTGTGTGCAATTACGCATTGTCCAAAGTGAAAATGATGGTATCAATTAACGTTAAGTGGACTCACTCTGGAGTAGAGGGCGGTGGCGTCGCTGGAGCAGGTGTTATAGTAACCTTGGCTCTTTGGATAAGTTCCGCTGTAGACTCCAATGCCGGGGCCAGAGGTGAGCTGGTGGGCCGGGGAGCGCAGCACCGTGTGAGGCGGAGGAGTTCCCGACTCCAGACAACCGGCCAGAGAGCCGGGGGTCATCAAAAACTTTGGCAAGATAAATGCAAAATTAACCTTATTTGTCCCATAACATTACAATTGAGAAAGTTACTGAAAGGAAAGTTCACATTCTCGAAAACCAGTAAAATAAAAAGTATTTAGTAGTGAACTGCAAAAACAAACATCTACAGTACACATCTAGTTCTTCAACTGGTGTTTGATTTGGTCTGTCCTTGTTTTAAGAGGCTATATACGCCTTAGATCTTCTCATTCAGTTTTTCTAAAATGTCAAATAAATCAATCAATAATTACTAATAATAATGTAAAATGTCGTCTGTTAAAACTTTAAGGAAACATGTAACAACATATTGACTGTACCTGAGGTGTGGTGGAGTAGGAGTATCCCAGCTGAGAGTAAGCCATGGCTGAAATAAGATCAATAGCAGGAGCGCGGACCTGGGGCAATATCCAACAGCATCCGTGCCAAAAGGAGACTTTTTCTCTGAAGCTAGCTCACAATTTAGTTTTCAAGTAAACTTCTAAAAAAAAATGTGGATATCATCTACCGCGCAGACATTTACGCACCACTTTCATTTTACGCACCAAGAGAAAAAACCGATAAAAGTTCCTGGCTTCCCTTTCAGCTCGTCCACTGCAGCTTCTACTGTATCCGCGCTATCTTACAATCCAAAGCGAGAGTGTGTGATCAAACCATGCATCTTCCTGTGATGCACTCTTTGGTTTTAAGGTGCGTCGATCTGACGTCAGCCCGGACTCTCGGTGTGTGTGTGTGTGTGTGTGTGTGTGTGTGTGTGTGTGTGTGTGTGTGTGTGTGTGTGTGTGTGTGTGTGTGTGTGTGTGTGTGTGTGTCTGTGTGTGTAGCCCGGTGTTCATATCAAGATGAAGAAACTCACCTAATTAATCCCCTCCCATTTTTTTTCAACTGTTATCCAGGAGAACAGCTCCACGCAAGCGCAAATGCAACCCCACCAATAATCCCCAGGCGTAATGAGAATGTGATCAATTTTCTTTTCCAAACAAACACACATACATCTGCATGTCCCATAAATACACCCCTACACACAGTGCTATGGCCAGAGGGGGGATCGGGAACGTGATGCCTTGACACCACATTGACACAAGATGATTGATGACTACATCCTGATATTAGCATAATCGTTTTGCCCTGTAGTTTAGATAACTTGTCACCACAGTGAAATCTCCTTGTCATCCACATATTCATGAGTGGGGGAATTTCAGGTCTCCTTCAAGCAAATTAATCAAAGAATAAACACTCTCTGCGTTCCCTTGAGTAAGCACCTTTACCAACTGAATGGCTTGTCATGTTTTTAATATCAAAGTCTCGGAAGTGGAAACATTTCTTCTCAATCCACCTTTAGGTCCACATTTATTTTGTATAGGTAAGGGTGGATGAAGGTAAAGTGCACAAGGGATAGGGGAAATGTTAGAGTAGTTTGTGGTGTTAAAAATAATTGGATATTTTGTGCAAAAGTGTCAGAAATAAAGAATTTTACGGGTAGAATCACAAAATAGAGAGGATAGTAGTTAGGGACTGGATACAAATTATGAGTGAGATGAGGTTAGCTTTTGATGGGATCTATTGTTAAAAAAAACAATATTTATCAAATAGCTTACAAATGTGACTTTTGAATGAAGCTAAAGCAACATGTATCATGATTTCCCAACTGTCAGACATCTTTCATTTTGAGACCGAGCGCGTTACTGAACTTTTTTTTATGAAAGAACATTTCCTAAGCATGCTTTATTCATTAAAAGTGGATACTGCTTTGTAAACTTAGATAATTTTCAGGAAAATCAGAGAGAATTTTACTTATGCGTTTTAGATTTGCTTTAAAGTGAATGAGCAATATTTCACAAGGCATAATCCAGTGGATATTTCATTTTCATAAAAAAATGCTGTTGCAAATTATAGGTTATTTCCAGGAGACAGGGTTGCCGATTGAGACAAGCTCACTCATTCTGTAGATAACTGTTTGATTAGCATCTCTTTACCATGTTTTCCATTCATATCTTTTTTGTCTAAGAGAAGTTCTATAATGACATATGAATATCATTCCCCCTTCCTTAGTTATTTTTTGCACAGTCCCTAATATTGTCAGAAAAGGAGAGACGAACAAAAATGCTAAATACACGAGAGGTTAAAGAGAGAAAGAAGAAATAAAAGACAAATTGAGAGTCTGCAACTTAACGTACAAGATAAAATAAAGGAATAAATGTGGAAAATCGGGGAAGCCTAAAGATAGAGGCAAACTTGGGGGGCAGAAAGAATTGTTAATAGCCAGGGGATCTGAAATGGAGCGAGGGGATGAGCAGGGGTAAAAGGACAAAATATTCCCAGTGCACCCAGAGTAGAGTTGGAACAACAGAGCTGCATCTCCAGAAAGCATCTCGGGCTCCACCGGGAAAATGCATCTGTGTACCGACGCCTGATTGACATTCCATTTGTCCCATGAAAGGTGCTCATATAGTGAACATGGACTAACTGTCTCCCCCTCATCTGTGCTCAAAGCATGGAAATGAAGTTATCTCCCATCGCTGGCGTTGCACATCTCCACACAAAACACATGTCACTCAAAGAGAATTGCTATTTGTTTAGCCACTGACAATGAACATGACTTTGTTTAATCTTGGGTTGGGGAAAATAACTTGTGAGGTGTGGAGGAAATGGAGTGGTGGGTTGAATCTCAAATCTGTTGTTACCTTTTTCCTGGGTAAAAATAATGCATTGCGTGGAGGGGCATAGATTATATTATTTTCCTGTTTTTGAATATTCAATGCTCTACTTATATATTAATATATGGTGTGTTTATATATTTATGGCATTCCTTCAGTATATATTTCTTAAGGCTCTGCGTTCGTTAGACCGTGATTATATCCTTCTGATCTAGCTCCCCTAACATCAATCATTCATTCAAGATGCTCCTCAAGAAAAGAGAAAGGGAACACATTGTTATTCTCTGCTTCCTGCATCCAGCTCCAGCTATTATGCAGTAGGTAGGGCGTGGGGGTTAATGATAGAATCGTGTTAATGTGAGAGGAGGAGGAGGGCCGGGCGGTGCACAAAGTGTTTGGAAGACAACGGCAAACAACTCCAATCACAAGTTCCTTCAATCACAGTGCGCCACATTTGAATATTTTCTACCTTAAAGTCTGAGATCTATGCAATTTTAATCACTGTTTAACATGTAGATGCTTTTTGAGCCTTCATCTCGGCTTAAGCTATTTCACCTTGAATAAAAATATCTAAGTGGTTGGTGCTAAGGGGCCCACAATGAGGAGAGAAGAGTCTGAGTGAAAACATGATTTCATTGTTTCTTCAGGCTCATTGGGGTGGAAAAATGTAGTGAGAAAAGAGATGAAATAGTTCCATATATTGTCTTCTGGTTTAAAAATAACAATTAAAGGAAAAGTTTGACATTTTGGGAACTAAAACTATCTGTTAAAACCATAGCTAGATAGTTAGCTTAGCTTAGCTTAGCATAAAGCCTGCAAGGCCAACAGTTGTAAAGGTTATCAGCCCATTGAATGGACGTTATCAGTTGTTATCACTACTTTTGTTATGCTTTAGATAAGCTGCAGCTACCCGCACATTGGAAAGTGACGAACTTAAGTCACTTTTTCGTAACACTGGCTTGCCCTTTTAAATTGAAACAAAACAGATTTGTTAAGTTAAGAACAATGTCATTGTTGATGTCGACATTATGTTTACGACCTGAGTCAACTTGCATATCTACACCGACCCTTTTCCCAATCGGCACCTGGCTTCCTTCTTTGCCAAAATATTTGGCTGGCCTGTCTCTAACCAAAGGTAACACAACCCTGCTATTGGGATCTTGTAAAGCTCAATGGTTAAATGTGGTTTATCCTTAGAAAAAGAGAAATGTGAAAATGACTATTTGTAATGCTGGTTGACGGGTTAGCCAACAGCTAGCTTGATTTTTACACCATCGAAACACCTAAATCGACTACTATTGCATGTTGTGGCTTATTTGAAGCATTGTGTTATCAAGTGATGTAAACACACTGTTGATGTGCCTTTTTTATATGAACTGGATGAAAAGCATTAGTGTTAATATTGAATGTTATTAAGATGGCATTACCAGTGATGATATCTTTGATGCCATTTTGCCAGGAATTTATGATATTTTTGACTTGGAATAATAGGTCAGAGGCTGATATGAACAGCTTTCCCCTGTGGCTGCTGTTTGAATGTTATAATGTGAACATTGACTATTCCTTAGCTGGGCATAGTGAGTTCCTGAAGTATCCACTTGTAATCTGTCGTTAAAACCACAATTTGTTACCTTTACACTGGTTATTGTACTGATGATACATTGGAGATATAAAGTGTTGTTGGTAGATTTGGTTACTTTTGGACAGTGCCAAGGCTAGCTGTTTCCACTGGTTGTAGTCTGTACTAAGCTATAAGCTAAATGGCTGCTGGCTTTAGCCTCTTCAATTCTTTTAATAACTGGACCGATGTTGGGTTGGAATCAATCTTCTAACATCTAACTCTTGAAGTAAACAAACCCCAAAACTCCCAAAATGTCCAACACCTTTAACATTGTCTTTATATACCCAACAACAAAAAGTATAGGAAGGTTAAGGCAGCAATCTCAGCATCGGCTATCAGTCTGACGATGATTTCAGGACAACCGCCAATATTTCTAGGATAGCAGTGCAACCAGCAAACTCCCGGTCTTTAGTTTCATTCCCATGCAGTTGTCATTGTTTCTGTCAAGCAACTTTGTGGCTTTATAATTTGAAGTGAAGTGAAACAAAACAAGGGAGAAAAGTCATCTCCATGCAGGACTTCCTCTGCCCACCATGTTCTACCATTGGACTCATATTTTTCTGTTTATCTGTGTTTTGTGTTGCACTGTTGGTGAAGCCTGTGAGACAATGTTCGTTTGACAAATAAAGAACCTTGAACCTTGAACCTTGAGAAACACAGGGGTAACAGAAGATCACTTTTCCATTTATTTTCAAACCTTTTCCCAGTGAAAAAAGGTGGTATATTCATAAAGAAGTAGACAGAGAAGAACAGGCAATGCATGGATCATGAGGAGAGAAATGGCGTTTCTTTTGACCACATGACACGGCCTCCAGCAGCAGCTGTTCTCTTGTTAAGCACAATAGCACCGACCGAGTACATGTGCAAACCCGGCTCGATGTGATCCACAAACAAGGCTGCCAACACAGAGTACCTGTCTGACCACCGAGCAGCAGCCATGCTATCTGCTGCATCCTCCTGCTCGTGTCTAAGAGGAGATTCATGGAGGATCTGGAGCTGCTGAGTGGGATACTTTAAATGCACTGGTCTCCCTCATCAATGATGTAGGATCCTGGAACAGAGACAAGCTAACCCTCTTAGCCGCTGTGCCGTGTGTGTGTGTGTGTGTGTGTGTGTGTGTGTCAGTGTGTGTGTGGCAGAAGTGGACGGAGACAGACAGAAGCAGAGAGGGAGACGGGTTTAGGCTACAGGCAGCTCTTAAGAGTGTGTACAGTTTGCGTTGAGCCCTGGGAGGCCAGCCGTATTCCTCCCCATCACTTCCACTTCATTACTCCGGGAGCGGACATACATTATTCAGCTCTTCAAGCCTCAGTCCACAGGGACCGATAGAGCCTTTAACAAACACTTTTAACCTATCCTAACTCTCCCACTGATCCTCGGGCTGTT